GACTACAAAGGTCACAAGGTTCTACAAAACAAGTATTATGGGTGACATTTGCTAGGCCAACAGGTCAGACCACCAGTTGAACTAGCCCGTTACTAGGGGCGACAGCACATCCACGCCGGTAGGTGACTCAAAGTTCAATCATGGCTGTGCCTATGTCAAGGCTCACCATAAAGGCTCATCATAATTCCCCCATTTCTCTTTGATAGCATGAAGAATGCTAGCCATTCATCATGCATCAGCCAAGGAACCTCTGTCTTAGGCGGCAGAAGTCTTCCATCTCCTTACCCGTCATCAGTTGCAGGGCTTATGTCCCAGTACGACCTGTCTTAGGTTGGTAGACAGAAGCTTCCGTTCTTACCCGTCACTGAGTATACCAAGGCGGGGGATCTATGCACGTCGAGCCTGAGCCAAGTAAATTGCCACGCGTGCTGTATCGTCATCTAAAGAAGCCTGTACAGCCATAGCAAGTCGTCCATGACGAAACACAAAAGATTGACACATTCCTGTCATCCTGTGACACATACAACAACCACAAATACAAAGAACCATCAAAACTACAATGACCACCAATACAGGAGCAAACACCACAGAAAAATACTGTTCAGTGGCAGTACCGAAATGTTGGCCTGAGGAAAACGTGAATCTGCTCACCAAAGTCCCACAGATAAGCTTAAGTCCATGGAATATTCAAGTAACCAGTCCTAAAACCCTTGAGATGTCTTATTAAATCACCAGTCCCATTAAATCCTTGTTGTGGACAATAAAGTCTCCGCTTGTGCACCAAGACACATCCTGGAGTTCTCTCTGCTGCTCCAGTGTTGGGGTCCCAATCCGGTCTCCTCAGTGGAAATCCAGCTTCAAGCTGTTCAGGGATAGTGGTGGGTCTATAAATGTACCTGTAACCATAAGTAGGTGTAGCAGAAGAAAAGGGAGAATACCCGGACCAAAAGGTTATTATCATAAACAATATGCTGGAAAACCTGCATGGTCAAGCAATATAAATACATTTTGTATACCAGAAAAGTAGCAATAATAATTATTATAATTATATGAATTCTTATGTCCTGTAATGTAGCTTTGTATCAACAGGATCTTCCCTTTTTTAACAGAAAATAACCATCAGAAACATATTACAATAACATTTCTACAATTCAGACCTTTGATAACCAACAAAACATTCCCAACAACATATTCAACAAGATATATCTTTTTATAAGGCTATGAAAATTATTTTGGTGGCTCCCATTAGTGAACAAAGATCAGAATAAATTTTCTGAGCAGCTGCTTCTTTACCAACAGGAGCGTATCCAAATTTAAAGGTTATATTTAATTATCTTTTAAGTTTTGTATTTGATCCTATAAAGCCAGGTTGTAGAAATCAACAACCCTCTTGCCATTTGACGTCATTCTGATCAAAAACATACAAACATCTTTGAACACTTAAAACAGACAAACATATAACACTTAAGACAATTTTAACGAGTGCACTCAGATGGTTTTGGCCAATTGAATTATAAAATCTTTTTGTTATGACTAGTCAAAATTCTTGCAGATCAAAATTAACAGAGATCGCTTGTAGAATTAGGGTTAAAGGAATGAATACTCTTCTTGACTATAAATGTAAACCTTTTATAACAAACTTGAAACCAACAAGCAAACATTTTATAAATCATTTCCATAAACATTCTCTACATTCTTAGGTAAAGACAAGAGGAACATACAAAAACCTTTCATGTTAAAACTACAACTCTTACTTATAGCTTTCCTAATATTTTTCTATCTCATTTACTATTAACCTTCTGTAACAAACTACTATTTTGTTCTTTATTTTGGTCTATAGTCAGTTTAGAACGTACCCTCGCTTGGAGTGTGTGTGGGGAGGGACAGACTGATCAACAGATACAAAGTCAAAGTCACAGCCAGATGGGAAAAATAAGTTCTGGCATTCTATCACACTGATTATTATAGTCAATAATACTGAAGAGTACTTCAACATGGCTGCAAGACAGGATTCTGAATGTTCTCATCACTAAGAAATGATAAATGTTTGAAATGATAGATAACCTAAGCATCCTGAGTTGATCATTTCACAATATGTAAATGTAACAAAATACTACACTGTATCACATAATGATATACAAGATTATCTCAATAAAATAATTTAAAAGAAATCCTACAAATCCATACAATTTGTGTGTCAAAAGCTATTATACCATACATAAGAAGTTACACTAGTATACACATACTAAAACTAGCAGGCTTATACAAAATAATCTTAGAAACAATTAAAATAGTTAAGAGTAGCTATAGTAGCTAAACAGATATAAGTAATGACCTTACTTCATCTTCTAAGACAATTAGGTTTCTATCTCCAACACTGAACGTCCTTGCATATTACCTCAAAATGTTAATTCCTTCTCTAACCCTCAAACACAAGCAGAATTCTGTGCTTTTCTTGCAGCAATAATAGCTATCACAACATCTTAACCTCATCAAGAAGTTCAAATACAAAAAGAAGACATGCCTGAGCTTACAAATCATGCTAAATATTTCACCTTCACAATTAAAAGTGAAATCTCTTCAAAGAGAAGGACTAACCAAATTATAACCCCATAACATATCTTCTTCTGTAGCCCCAAGATCTGGCCCAAAAAGCTCTGTGAAGAAATTATTAGTCACATTAGGGGTATCACACTATTTTAATCCAAATTGTCAAATCAACACTAGCCAACTAATTGAATGCAGATCTATCAATATCATCTTCATTCCTATATTAATTGCAGGAGTTGAACACAGAAAATACATTCAGAAGAAAAAAAATACCTAGGAAGTAACACTCAATTGATGCTACTCTTCATTAATAACACTATAAAGCATATTATCTTTCTGAGCCTAGTCTACCATACACATTTAAAGTCAAATGATTAGTCAAAGACTTGAAAATCTTCCAAGTAATTGTAAGGAAGTTCCAAACTGGCACTGAGGGTATTAGTGTTATGTAACAAGGAAGTGAAAGAAGTTAAATTAACTGCAGAAAATTCCTTCTTGGGACAAAATTGAAGAGAATACTTATATCAGAATTGATTTGACAGCAGCTTTGTGTTGTGATTTAAAAAAAAAGATAAATAATCTTCAACGGTTATTTAAAAATAAAAACTACAGATACAAGGAAATAAAAACTACTTTTAGGAGATGAAAAAAAAAAAAAAAACCAAAAGAGTAGGATAGCCAACACCCCATTTTCAAATTTAAAATCATATTGTCAGTTGACCAGAGCAGTTCAAATTCAAAGTCTGTGCTATGAAACTGCATAATTATGTTCTATTAAGGGTTGGATAACACCAATGCACCATAACAATTTGCTTCCTAAATTATTTCCACTTACAGATAAAAGACATATGAGAAATAAGGTTAACTAACACATATAAATCTAAGAAAAGTTTCCAGTTTGATTTAAAAACAAAACAGAAACAAGCTTCAAAATAAATCACAGTATCTTCTATTTACATATAACTTAGCAAAACCTTCAGTAAATGTCCAAGTTTTAGCATCAACTGTCACTGTCTTTAGACATTCCAATTAAATGAACCACTCTTTCCTTGGTCTGAATGAATAGAAGCCTGCTAAAACAAATGCCAATGCGTTTAAAAACTTAGGAACACAAAAGTTTAAAAACATAATCCTCCCAGATGGAAGGGAAGGAATCAGAAGTTCAATACCCAGTTCGCTAAAGAAAATGACAACTAAAATCTTTCTGAATACAGATTCTAATATAGATTTCATTATTCAAACTCCCCCCACGTGGTACTGAAAAATATGAGGCAATTTCACAAAAAATCACAAATTTAGTGGAATAATTATAACTGATATATAAATAAGGATTTACTAAAAAAGGCTTCCAGGGGTGATATTTCAAATCAAAGTTTTAAATACAAAAGGTGTCTTATGTTGCTTAATCATCCCAAGTTTCCGATGCTCTTTATTCTACAGTTACAGATTTGGCTAGATTCAGTGGGAAATCAATATCATAGCCTCTCAACACAGCAAGGTGGAAAGCCAGCAACTGTAAGGGATCACACTGAGAATGCCTTCCAAGCAGTCCACTGAGTGGGGCACCTTGATCGTCCTTTTCGTGTTCTTAATGGTCTCAGTATCCTCCTTATCACAAATTACAACACGGTGACCCTGCCGGGAGACCACCTGCTGATTCAGTTTAAAGTATCCTTTTTCTGCCTTTAGATTGTTACATCTTAAAATTTGACTGGCTGCCAATTGAACAGTCTTAACCCAAAAGAGCAAGTTAACCCTATAATCGCAGTATAAAACAATGCACAAGAAGTGTTACCAAAACTAGTTTTCACTAACAGCTGACTGTGGCAGAGCAGAAGTGTGAGCAACTCCTAGGCTGGAGCACAAGAAGCCAAACCATGTAAGACAAAGACTTATGAAAACCAAACCGAAAGAAGAACAACGGACTCTGTCAGGGAATCTCCTTAATCTGTTCCAAAACCAGAACAACACTTCGACCAGAGGGTCTTGAGGAGGGGAAAAAAATCAACCTCCCTCCCCATAAACAGAGAGACAGAGTTCCTACCAGAGGAGCCTCTCCGGCCCCCGCTGCCGGGAGTCCACTAGCATGTCAGCCTGGACCTCCCTCCCTCCAAAATGATCCAGGTCACAAATGACCAATTCAGACATTAACAGGAAAAGACACAGAAACAAAGAAAAGGAAACCAAGGACAAACTATTTCTACAAATTCTAACAAATTACACAATTGCTGGTGCCCTACTCTAACACCACCGACACACAATAAATCTTTAAGCATAGGCCCAAAAAGCACGCAACTCTTGCCTGCTCCCATTTTTAATATTTACAAGAAAACTCACCGCTCCTCTTCTGCCTTCCTTTTGAAGGTCCTCTACCACGGCCGTGATCAGGTCTCTCACCGGCAGGTACTTTCTTTTATTGCCATGATCAGGACTATCGTCCCGTCACTCACCAGCAGGACCGCGGGGATCAGTCGCCTGGATCGCAGGGCGCTCTCCTCGATGTCCCTCTTACTCAGGTCCCTCTGTTCAGGCGCCACTTGTCGCGAGCCGGTGACGAAGAGCACTGCCAGTAAGTCCCAAACCCGAGGGAAGAACAACAGCAGAGCAAACAGTCTCACAGACTTAGATCCAGGTTCACGCTCTCTTCCTGGCAAAGCCCGGTTTATTTTTCAGGGTGGGGTATATATAGGCTAAAACCGAAACCAAAAGGGTAAACAGGGTGTAGTCGACTGCAAAGGTCACAAGGTTCTACAAAACAAGTATTATGGGTTACATTTGCTAGGCAACAGGTCAGACCACCCGTTGAACTAGCCCGTTACTAGGGGCGACAGCACATCCGCGCCGGCGAGGTGAGTCAAAGTTCAATCATGGCTGTGCCTAAGTCAAGGCTCACCATAAAGGCTCATCATATCCCAGGACTATTTTTATTTTTTTGTTAGTAAGAATCTCTTCAAGACATCACAATTGGGCCTTTGCCAAATCTTTGTCCTTTCCTAATAGGGATAAGGGAAGAACATTTTCACTTTGCTTTTGACCTCTCTTCTTTCCAAAAATTTGAGAACCAGCCCTCCTTTATTTTTTGCCTTTGCCCACCTTGCTATAGTCTAGCACAGTACTATTCAGAGTAGTGAGAAACTGAAAAAAGTAGAAATATAGCCAAAAGCAAGAAATAATGTTCCTAAAATGCATTTCATATATTTATTTAAATATGTTTTGCAGAATTTTTAATAATATAAAAACCACAATGTTATAAAGACCAAAGCTACATATAAAATTATATACCAGGTATTATTTTAAGGTATTAAAATATATATGCAATTTATTTATTTTTTGTTGTTGTTGTTTTTTGTTTTTTGAGACAGGGTCTCACTATGTAATTGAGACTGACCTAGAACTTACTATGTAGCCCAGGCTGGTCTCGAACTCACAGCAATCCTCCTGCCTCAGCCTTCTGAGTGCTGGGATTACAGGTGTGTGCCACCACTCCCGGCTCCAAAATATATATGTGATTTAAAAACTTTTGTGCACTAGTAACATCATAAACAACCCAAAAAAAACAAACAAGAAATTGGGAGAATATTTGCAGTATATAAAAGGCATGAAGTCTGCATTTATAGTATAAAATAAACCTTCTGAAAGCAATTTTGAACAAGATGAAAATACCAAGTTGGAAATGGAAATTTTGCGAAAGAAACAAAATGAACAGTGAAAGTAGGAAAAGATGTTTGAGTACACTAATAATGAAAAACTGCTAGTAAAAGTGGCTCATCAGTTTTACCTAACAACTGGAGTAAATACCACATTTTTCTCCTAGTAAATTGGGAAATATCAGTAATACCAATTAGGGCTTGGAGAATCTACTTTTCTTATATATTGTTAGCAAAAACATAAATTCTCACAATCTTTCTTCTGGCAGCCCTAAAATAAATATCAAAATCAACCCAGTAATTCCTCTTATAGAAATTTATCTCAAGGAGCTGTTAGATCAAATTACATATAAGAATACGTGTACAAGAACTTCACTGAAGCATCATTTCGGAAAATAGAAAGCTAGAAACAAACCATGTACCAAAAAAAAGGCATTAGTCATATAATATTCTACAGCATCTATCCATTTATTTAAAGGAATTATTGATAGTCATTAAAAAATGTTTTTCTATATTCCCTAGTATGGAAAGATGTCCCTGAAATTCAATTAAATAAAAAGCCTGAAATGATATAGTGATCCCTTCCATAAATTACCGGAACAACTGAGTGTGGGTATGAATACAAAGATGAATGAGAATTTACTGACAATATTAACTAGAGTTGCCTCGGGGGCTGGGACACCTTTATTTTGATATTGCTCGAGTTTTCAAAATATGTGCTCTAAATTTAGAAACATTTCTGTGCAAAGATAGACGTTATTAACAGTTGCTAGCAAGATTTGCATCTTTTAAAGCTCTCAATTATGAATTTTGCGATTACGTTTTTTTCATTTTCATAATTTAGGAATAACAAAATAAAGGAACAAGACCGTGGAGGTGCTCATTTCCTGTCAGTTTCCCCGCGAACACCAGAACCCCCGAAGATCCGTGGAGGGGCTCATTTCCTGTCAGTTCCCCCGCGAACACCAGAACCCCCCCGAAGATGCTCCGTGGGGTGCTCTCACAAGCTGCGGGTGGGCTCAGAGTCCTGGTTTCAGCTTTGTTTTTGTATGAATTCCACTGGTCAGTCTAGGTCCCAGCATCTTTCTATGGAGTTTTTATTGCTTGTTATTAAAAAAAAAAATACTGTCTCTTTAAAGTTGGCAAATAAAAAACAAGCAAAGTTTTTGAAATGGCAATGTATGCAGTTTAATAATAGAAGAAATGTTCACATTTATTGTCAGAACTCCTGAAAAAGCTTAGAGTCCAGGTTTGTATTTATGTATTTGCTTTTTAAAACACATCACTAATGATGGCCTGTATAATGAGGGACACCCATACCCCTTCAACTGCTTTTCTTCCCCAGGTAGCATATATTTGCCTTGAGTGATTATAGCTAATGATGTCGGGTTAAAACTTCTGAATGCATTTCCAAGATAGGTTCTGAAACTTGAAAATTTAAAGCCAAGATCACATTGCTCTTACTTGGAATCAATCTGAGAACAGTATTGACTGGTGGCAGAAAAATGAACTCGTTTGGCCCCATGATCTTCAAGAATGAATTACTGTAATGGCAAACATAAAAATGTGCTTTTGGATTTGAATTAGCAAACACAAAGCGATTGCTGGAATCTTTGAGGAAAACAGGCTATGTAGAGTTACTTTTTTTAAGTTTCAAAAAAGTGAATAAAGTACATAATTACTGCTCATAGTTTTGCACTGATCAGGAAGTGTTTGGACCACCTTCACTGTTCCTTGAATCCTCTTGTACCTTTAGTCGGGATCACCTCGGCCTAAAACTGGGTGTTCGAGCTCACAGAACTCTATAGATGCTCTGCCATTGTTGTGCCCAAGGTAGGACAAAGGGGAAGTTGGTTGTGTGAGGAAGATAAACAAACATGTCTGAACTTGTCCATCAGTGAAGTTGCCATTGCAGAGAAAAGGAGACGTGCAAAATTCTGTTTATGAAATTGTAGGGAAAGGATGATGCTCTGCTATTCATAATGTCCAATAAATAGGACACAAAGCTTGATCTCATTAATGTGTGGATTCATCCAACCATTCAACAAATAACTTGTTTGTCTCTACATAAAAGTAAGTGTGTTTGATGTACCAAGAGGCATGAGGTACACCTGCCATCAAGAAATGTGGTTTGAATGAACTTTCCAAACAGAAACTGTGTCTCTCGATAGTCAGGTAACAGAATCCCTGTAGTGTTCTGCTTTTGGCTGCTTCCAACTGAAATTGGAATGAAAAGGTTTAGTGGAGATTATGATGCTAAAGCCACTGAACAGATCCTGGTTTGGAGGCTTTGGAGACTAGAAATAATAATTCTTTTATCTAGAAGGAAAGGTCGTTAATTCACATTCACACATGTATACCCGCCTACACACATAAATTTAGAAAACCCAGCAGCAGTCTATCTCTCCCTGTCTTTGGTATCACAGCAGGGCTTATTTCTCCCCACTTGGCTCTAATGCACATTTTAGTATCATCATGCTGTGTTTATTTGACCATGTTTTCAGTAGGATTTTCATTGGATGAATTCACAAAAGCCCTGGAGTGCAACATACAGTAACTTTTCTTTGAAATGGGACAATATTTTTAAAGAGTTGAAACAGTTCATTATAGTTTCTGGGATAATCTGTATGGTATTTATAGATGTTAGGGGATGGGCATATCTTGGATCATGCACTTCCAAAATATGCCCACTAAATATGTCTAATGTTCTGCCACACATTCATGAGATCTAACCTCTGCTGGGCTGGCATCCAAACTGGGTAATCCTTTTATTCATCTCCTCTGGACAAAAAAAAAAAAAAAAAAGACCCTTCCACATGGGTTGCTCCAAATTCCAACCTGGGGCTTTTGAATCTCTAATCTCTTTCCCTCCTCTTTCACTCTTTTTGGTTTGTTTCCTTCTCATTATGTCATATAGTTTAATTTTGAAAAATAACCTTTTTATCTTGAAATAACTGTAGACTCATGTGGAGTTAAATAATAGAGATGGAGTGCCTCTTTCCAATATTCCGCTTTTGTAGTGGGGCGGGGATTTAGCTCATTGGTCCATCACCTGCCTCGCAAACACAAGGACCCAGGTTCAATCCCTGGTACCAAAAGGGAAAAAAAAAAGATATTCCCCTGTTGTAACACCTTGCAAAAGTTGAGCACAACGTGACAACCACGTTATCAACACTGATACAACCAGGAGATAAATTATCTCATCATCACAGGACCCCATACTAGGTTCACATCCTCCTCCACGGATGGCCAATGGCTCCAGTGCTGTTTACTGAAAATGCTGTCTTTTCTTCATTAACATCTTTGCTGGAAATCTGTTGGACCTATTTGTGTGGGTCTTTTTCTGGTTTCTGTCCTGGTCCATTGATCTCTGTGTATCCCTCTGACAGTATCATACTACATCGATAACTGTAGCTATATCATTTTACTCTTTTTCAATATAGTTTTAGCTATTGTGGAGCTCATGCCTTTCCTTTTAAATTTTGAAATATCCATATCTCTGGCTATGTAAAAATCATGCTCCATTTTGATAAGAATTCTATTATATCAATAGGATAACTTGGGGAAAACTGACATTATACTGTGTCAACTTTCTAACACATTAATACAAATGCTTTTCTATTTATTTATTTTTAAATTTCTTGGATCACATCTTGTGGTTTTAGCCCACTAATTCTGTGTGTGTGTTTTTTTTTAAGTTTATATCCCCCTGTTCATTTATTTAGTTCAGAACTGTAGATAGTTTTGAGTTTTAAATTTCAGTCTGCATATGATCGTTGTGAATAAAGACAAATACAACTGCTTTGTGTTATAGTGATCTTTTATATCTTTGCCCACTCAACTTACTCAACCTATTTTCAGCACTGGAAAGTTTTTTTGCTTTTTAAATAGATTCTTTGGAATTTCCTAGACAATTTAATTTCTTTCCTTTAAAAACTTATGTCCTTTTAGTTTCTTTTTCTTACCTTATTTTATGGGCTGGACTTTCAGTACCGTGCTTAGCAAGAGTGGGGCCAAATGTCTTTTTCCTTGTTCGTGATCTTAAAGGGGAAGCAGTCAGTTACTGTAAGAATGATGGCAGCTTTAGGTTTGCTGTTGTTTTGTAATATTCTTACCTAGTTTATGAGTTCTATTCTCAGTTTGCTGAGAGCTTTTATACCAAATGGATGTTAGAACTTGTCAAATGCTTTTCTCTCTCAGTTAATAAGATGTTTTCCTCTAATAGCCTGTTAACATAGTGACTAATGGACTTTCAAGTGGTGAATTAGCTTGCACACCTCAAACTTTTTAACTGCAAATTCAATTTCTTTTATGGCCACAGGACTATTCAGGTTGAGGATTAGTAATTGGTGCTTTTTAAAGAATTGGTCTATTTCTTCCTTTTTGTCAAGTTTCTGAGGGTAAAGCTGCTCATAACATCCCATTATTACCCTTTTAATGCCCTCAAAATTTGTAGTGATATCTGTATCTTGTTCTTGATTTTGATGATTTATGTCGTCTCTCTTTGTGTCTTCATCAGTCTTGCTGGAAGTTCATTGATTTTATTGACTTCTGTTGAAGAACCAGCTTTTTGTTTCATTGATTTTCTCTGTTGTTTTCTTGCTTTATATTTCTCACTCTTCTGTATATTGAAGACCAAGTCCCCAAGATAGGAAAAGAAGAGCTCTTTTTTGATCATTTTCTTTCTTGATTTCTTCTCCTATCCTTTCTCCATTCCTTCTGCATTAGAGGAAAGCTCTTTCCTTCTCCTTTCTAAAGCTAAACACTACCTTCTCAACGTTTTAGCTTTTTCCTCTGTGGTTGTGTCACGTTCAGTAACTTTGCAACTCTTTCATCTTTAAGTTACTCATTAGCTGATAAATTTGCTCCTCTCACTCCATCCTAAATAAAATTTCCCCTGCACTATGCCCACTAAACTACCGCTATAGCTTTCCTTTACCACCAAACGTCTAAGAAGCTCATCTACACTGTCTTGCCACTGACATTTACTCCTCATTGACTGTTATCCATTGGCATGACTCTGCCTGAAACATGACTCGGTTTAACTCTGATTCTGCTCACCAGCTTCTTCTACTCCTGGTACTAACTGCCCACTACATGGTGGTTTATAATGTGCCCACTGACTTGACTTCTCAGTTTGTCTTTCCAACTATACCTGTTGGTTTCTATAGCTTCTGCTCACAGCACGCTGGTTATCCGTTTCTTGCTTTAAACATCACTCTGTATTTGTGTTTCTGGTTGGCTAGCCATTCTCATACAAATGCCCGATTGGCCAAACCTATTTGTAACAGCCTCCTGGCTGTCTCTGGGAACAGCTGCCACTGCCTGATCCAGTCAGCTTGACCAGCCCAGGAAGGCAGGGTGGTACCTAGGGTGTGACTGGGCAGAAGAATCTTGTCAGCAGGACAGGGCTTCTGTGAAGTACTAACTGTGAGCCACAATGTAGAATTCCAGATTGAGTGTACTTCCGACAGAAGAGGTAAGTAGATAATTGAATGATAAACATTACATCGGAACTGGCAAGCTTTGAAAAAGGCCTAAGTGTTAATGCTTTTAGGTTTAAATTTCTTCACAGTATCTGTTGCACATGTAGCTGAAATTCATCAAAGATTATCAGTCATATGACTCTTCCTTTACAATGTCAAAAGTAACGAGATTGATTCATGGAAAGTCATTGCATTTATAGTAAGCTTATTTCACCCAACCACTGAGCTACATTCCCAAGCCTCTTTTAAAATTGTATTTTGAGACAGGGTCTTGGAAAGTTGCCCAGACTAACTTTGAACTTGTGATCCTCCTACTTCAAACTTCCTTGTAGTTAGAATTACAGCAGTGTGTCCCTGTGCCTAGCAGTAGCTGGAATTTTAAATTTCTAATTTTTTTTTGCTATTGTTGTTAAAAGATGAGATTAAAAAATTCACTGGAATTTTGTAAGCCCAGGTATACAGAGCTGAGTCAAGATGCTGTTCTAAGTTACCTGACTCTGTTCCTGGAAGTGAAAGATATGCATATATGTCCTTTCCCTTTAAAAAAACATTACATGGAAAATAAAGTCATCACCAGCAAGAGTAATGGAGCATGTCAAAACATGATAAAGTACATTATTTCTCAGGCTCTTGTTTTTCCACAAATATTTCCATCTCCTAGCTTCAGCACGATTCTCCCCTTATTTAATACCGTATTTCTGGCATTTTTCTTTAGCGTTTGGTAACAGTTCTGTGGGACTTTTCTATGATTTCGCATACAGTGCCAACCAATTCACTCAGGATCACCACAGTTATCATTCTCACCTCACCATCAACTCCTTGATTACCAAGTTACTTTAGGGCAAAGGTATTCCGAATTTGCCGAGATTATAATGACGACAGGTCGGACGTTTATTTTATTTTTTTAAAAAAGGAACTAAGAACTCTTGGTTTCATCTCTGGAATTCAGCATAGTGCAGCCCACGTTCACTCAGCACTTAACATCTGCAAGCACTGGAATCGTTATGATGAATTAATACGGGTTCCACAGTCAAAGACC